CAGCCATTCATTGTCCATTAACAAAAAAACATGACAAAGACGAAGAGAAATCGGATTTGACATCGAGAGACAAAACAAAGTGTGATGAGATACTTGAGTTTTATTCGTATTGTGATAAAGATAAATCAGGTCAGTTAGATGAGGATGAATGCAGCGTCGCTCTATTAACTCTATTTAAATATATCGAAAATGAACGATATCCACTAAATGCCGATGTGCTTCTTCCAATTGTTTATAAACAAGGTCATAATAAAAAGAGTGCATATTATACTGAAACAGATTTTCGAACATTAATTATCGATACATTGACCGAACATATACGTATTCGTACATTCCGAAATCCACACGATTCGACGCCATCATCGATTCGCAACATGAGTAAAGAAATCGAAAGAATGTCGAATAGCATTAAAGAGACACGAAACGATCTCCAACGAAGCAGTGACGAATCTCCAAATCCATTTTCATTATCAAATATTCTTCGACATATTGGATATTTTGTATTATATATTTTTGGTCTACCAATCTTTGTTGTCCTTGAAATACTCTGGTACTTCCATATAAAAAGCAAAAAAACGAAATATACTGTCATTCAATATTTGCTTATCGTTATTTTTTCGATGGTTGGTGGATTAATTGCATGTACTTTCTATTTGATCATTTTAAATGTTATCGTTTTTCATATCTTTCATGACGAAAACGTTGCTTGGCATGTTAGTTCACTTGAAGTTTATTGGCCGTTTGCATTGATCGTTGGTTTTGTTTTCATCATTTATGTCTATCGATCACCTTTTGAAATGCGTTCTGACTACACAAAGAATAAAGTGATGCAACAAAACTATGATGATGCTGAATTGGATTTTCTTAAACACAAAGCTGTAGTGAGTATGCCTTTGTCTGACAATCGTCAGGGTATGACAGTAGCAGAATTAGAACGAAGTAACAGAAAGTCATCATCGGCAGAAGATGAACCAAGTAATAATCGTAATAAATTTTTTATGGATAAAATCAAAGATACTTTCACTCGTATCTATCAAAAAGAAAAGAAACAAACGAAATTGAGTATCTTACGGCAAGTAGTCGGACTTATTGTTGTTCTTGCTGTTGCAGTACTACGTGCGTGTGTACCAACAATTTATCGTAAATATAGACGTGATTACACGTTTCCGAACACGACAAAACCATTTCAGGTCGAACTTATTAACGTCTGCTATTATGTACTTGGTCTTCCTCTCTATTTAATATACCTTTTCATGATTTTGTATGGATATTACTTGTACTCTAATTACTATACGAAGCTCAGGCTCGTTTTACAAATACCGACCAATAATAATCAATATGGAGTTACACAAAAGCGTGATGACGAATATTATTTAGATTTAAGACGTCAATATAGTCTTGAACTTTTCATTGCCCTATTACGTCAGGTTACCAAATTGAAAAATAAGCTCAACTACCAAGTAAGAATACAATGGATAAGATTGAATCGGGCACACCCTTTTCGAAAAGCGATTGTTAATTCATGTTGAAGTTTAGAACGAGAAAGTTGAATTTATGATTCCATAACTCACAGATCGTGACACACATGTACACATGCCAGGGGAAAATAGCCAAAAGGTCGTCTCAATTGTCGTAGTGGTAACTAATTTTAATTTTAAGCAAGGTAATTGTAATCAAAATTTCAGGCCAAGACGAGCTTTCTTTCTAAAAAAAGTTTCAGTTTCAGAATATGAGTAGATTTTCTAAAAAACTAGCAGGAACTTAATTCAACTGTATTATGCATCAAGCTTTGTGCCATCGGTCAAGTGCATTGATAAATAACCGGGAACAATACAAATCGCTTTACACATAGTTAAATACGAATGTTAATTGATTGAATTCTCACAGTAATCATCGTAACCCTTCCATAATTCAGAATCGTAATTGTGCAGGATCGTAACAGAAAATTCTTGGTCATGATAATTTATAGAATAAGTGAATTTTCAGTTTTCTAGTGCAACTGAAATACTAAAGTACAAAGCAATTCATTTCTTTCCTCTTTGTTATATGTTCTTGTGATCGTTCTAGAATTTCGTCGAAACCTTGTTTTACTGTTTCTGTTTTAGCTTGCTATGGCTGCTATGGGTGGTGGAGTCATTTTTGCTGCAATTTTGGGCATTGTTGCTATTATTCAGCTAATTTATTATCAAGCCGGTGGTCTTGTAACATTGACAACTCTTCTAGGAATAATTGATATAGGCATTATAATTATTCTTGTCCTTATTTTTCTATACAATATTGTAATTATCAATAGCGCCTTGGATAATGTAGAAGTATTACTTTTGCGTACGAAAAAGGAAGTATTCGTACAATCAACAAAACGTAAATTTCAAGACAACGACTGGAATATTGATTATTTGAGTGCGATGGCTGAACAATTTTCTGTCGATAAAGATACTTATTACGTAAATATCTTTGGATTTATCGTTAATAAAGCATTGGTCATCAAGGCTGCATCAGCAATGATAGTTTCTTTCACTGCACAAGTAATGTTGTTTCTTAAAAAGAAAACGAATGTGGAATAGATATCGATCAGTTCTTTTCTGTTGATGACACATTTTTGAAATTTATCACTATAATATTATTACTTGTTCAATTAATCACGAACTATAAATCGAAATATAATCCTTAAACTTTTCTTCCCTTACACATCGTTTATCCACAGCATTGATTTCATTTCAACTTTTTTTCATTTTCTTTTTAATTTTTTCTGACAAATATTACAATGGATTTGGGGAAACATTCTTGAAATAAATAGAACAACACATAACTGAAGAATTGATGTCTGAGCATGATCTGGTTCATCTGTTCAAACCTACTCATACATACACGCTTAATTTAATATAGTGGAAGTAGAACATAACAAAAAATATTAGAAAAAAAACTCGAATTAGCTCTGTTATGATTATTAGATACTGCAGCTATAATCGGTTTGATCGATCTTTTGCCATGTGATCTTGTTGCTGTTGTCGTACAAAAACTCGTGTTGAATCAGTCAGAAAAAGATTTACATTATTTTATACTGTAGGATAAAGAATCAAGAATCTTTTTCTTTGTATATTAAAATGATAGAAAAATCAATGAAATATGTTGTTATAAGAAAACTAAAAAATAAATGAATTTTTTTAATTAAAATTTGAATAAATGAGATTGTTAATAACAAAAAAATGATTAGTCTACTATATCACAATTTTTGTTATTATTTAGTTTCACATTTGTTGGAAATTTTGTTTAATAAATAATAATTTTATTTTCCTTCCTAATAGGAAGTTTTTTGAAAAAAATTCAATAGTAAACTTATTCAATTCAGTGACACTTTGTTCATCTTTGTTTGTTATTCCAGAATCAGTTGATCCTTCATACTACTATATTGATCAGCAGCACCAGTTCCTTCTAAAACTTCCATAGATAATCAATCTATATCTTTAACCTTGTATTGAATAAAATTCTACTGTTTACTTGTTGATGACATGAGACTTTTATTTTCCAAAAAAAAAAATAAATATTATTTTGCTTGTTGGATAAAGCTATGTGTGTCGACTACAACAAGGGGTCTACCTTAGATAATATTTAATAGCAGCAATTGTTTACGTGATTAATAATATGTAAACACGCTTCTCTGACTCATTTCAGAGAGAACAGAAAGAATATTATTTACTAACATTATTTGTTTGGAACACAGGTTATTCAGTTCGATTTATTCTTTCTATAGAACTAAAAAAGTTGAATAAGATCAATTTGTTTTATCAAATTCTCTTTTTTTTCTGTTAGTATATCGATAAAAATAAATTTCGAACGCGTATTTATCTTAAGTTAAGAAAAAATAAAAGAAACTTGATTAAAAAATAATATAGAAAATGTCCTTGTTTATCTTGAGTTTTTTATTAATTGTTATCTTTATCGGTATTGCTTGTTGTGTCCTGAAATACCACCGCCCCATGTATCGCCATGTTTGTCGATAGGAGCATTGTGTTGTGCACTAGTATCGTTATTACCTATAGGAATTGAATCTTCTTTACGTTTCTCACTACCAATGGCATTAGTCGAACCACCTGCAGCTCCGTTAGTTGCTGATTTACTGGCATTTCTTTCTGGCAAATTGTTCAATGATGAATCGGTGTTGCGTTGTTGTTGTGTAGACATTACATGGAGTCAAAGCACAAAAGTAAAATAAATGTAAATGTATTTTCACTCAATGATACTTAGAAGAGAATCGACAAAAGAAAAATATTTTTTTTCTTTATGATATCAACGTTAGACTGTATAGAGAACGTGCACAAATACGTAAAACAAAAAACAAATGAGAGGCGTTTGAAGAACGAATAATATATTCTACACAATAGAATAATCAAGCAAAAAATATCTGAGAAAGTCAAGTTCTAATCGATATTTCGATTAATTGAAATCAATGTACCAGCACTTATAAGAACAATTATCTATTCATTCTACCACTGAGAGTCACTCGACACAACAACAAAGTTGTTGATGCTAATCATATGGAGATCGTTTTGTTCTATCTATTTTGCGATAGATTTGTTCACAACTCTTTATTTAATCCTCTAGAACTGTGATAAGGAAGTAGTTCATATATTCGAATGAGATTTTATAAATAAACGATCTTTAATCGTATATCAATAATGTTTACCACAGTCTATGATTGGGAAAGAGCGGAGGGGGAGGGGAGGGGGAAGGGATGCAAATTTCTATCCAATATACTTCAACACTCCTTTGAGATCGTGCTTTGAAAAAGCATTCACATACAGCTCAAATACTTTAGTGTACTATTCTTCTTTCAATATTTTTCTATCATGCTATAGAGTTAAAAAGTTACACAGCATATGTTAAAATCAGTTTGAAACTCATTGAGTTCGAAGGACAGTAGTCGATCCATTATCAAAAAGGACTTTCTCGCACCCGCTCGTTCGACCCATGTTTGAAAATATATAATATATGAATAACTAATTTTGTTTAGTTTTCAGTGCTCTATTTTAGACTATAATAGACAAAAATTTGGTTGACCAGATGTCGAGCTAGCTAAATTAACATGTTGGGTACATTTTTTGGTGAAAACCGGAATCCCAAAAGTCAACAATTGGTAACTTTTCCACAAAACAATATTAGAAATTAAAATTTAGGTTTATTAATTCCAGAAGTTGGTCTTTCGGATGCGTACGAAAAAAAATTTTTTTTAATTGATGAGTCTTTTGTAGACTCGCTCGATCCATGGATTTTCTCTTAATAATAGAAGAATAGAGTTGACGATGGTTCTTTTATACGATAATCTTTTAAGCACCACATGGTTGTTTTCCATTACATCCATATCCTCCAATGCCATCACAACCATAAACAACAAATGTTTGCTCTTGATATTGCCATTCATAACTACCACCTATACCTTCAATTTCATATGTGCAACAACCATATCCTGAAAATTTCATATCAACACGTTGTGGTTTATTCCAATTCTCTTTTGTAAAAACAATGTTTGGATTGCCATTAACTGTAAACTTTGCACATTCTGTACCATTGTAATACCAGTTTGGTTTTGGTCTAAAATTGATTGTTACTTCATCACCCAGTGAATGAACAGGCGGTGTTTGTAATGTCAACGTAAAATTATCAAGACCACCATCTGGTGTAACAACAAAACCACGTACAGGTGATTGTGAGTAACCTAAGCCATAGAAAAAAATACTAGTAAAAGATATACAACTAATAAAATAAAATAAAAAACTACCGTTATTAACATTGCCACATACTGATGACCATTGTGCAGGTAAATTAAACAGTGCTTCAACTTCTGATGGTATGCCATTTATAAATGATAAGTAAATGACCGATCTATATCTACGGAATTGAGAAAAAAGATATTTTTGATTAGAAGACGATGAGAAAGCTCAAAATTTTCAGTTAGATAGAAGCTTCGAAATGCTAGTTTCGTTAAGTTTTTTCCATAGTGCTTAATCTTGTTCTGGCCTAAAAACTATTGAATATTCTCAAATCATCCTTATACTCTCCAAAGAACAACACAAGTCATATTTCCTAGTGACTGGAATCTACTCTAATCGACATGTGTCTTAGTCAAAAATTGAAAATGTCAATATCTGGTTTCTGTTTTCAGAAACGAGGCATAGTTATTAAGGATAAACAAAAATATCTATGTGTTCAGATATGTATGAAAACAGTTTTTAACATGAGTTTTCGTTTTTTAGAAGCAGAAAGACCGTAAACAGAAACTATAACACTTATTGTCAGAAATATAGTGACTATACTTGTGACATAAGAAAATTTGATTTCAGTCGTCAATTGTTATAAGTGCCCTAAGTTTGCTGAGCCCTCTCTCATCTGAAAGATTAAATTTCTGAATTGGATCTAGAGTTTGATAATTACTTACTCATCACTATCATAAACGCCAGTGGCCGCTCTTGCTTTTAATGTTTTAACTGGTGTACCATCATTGGTTTCAAAATAACTTAAACATGGTACTTTACCAATACTACTTGTTTTTAGATCACAGATATCAGATGAATCATATCTCTATAGATCAACAGCAATGTTTGATAATGAAAGAGTGATGTATGTGTTAAAGAGACTTACAAGTGCATTAATTTGTAACTCTGGAATCCATTCAACACCATTATAAACTAAATTATCGGGTAATGGAAACCATGGTTTCATATCAATATCGCCGTCAGCAGTTATCCATGTAGATGGAAATGCACCAAAATCTTTTATTGGGGGAGTATTATACCAACAGTTACCCTTAACAAAAAAAAAGTTGCCTTTATTTTTTTTAAATGAAGAACTTACTTTGGTCACTTCTGGATAATCAGGATTGAAATTAAACAAAGTATAGCCTTCTGCTGTCGGCTAAAACAAAGAAGAAATTTATCTGATCTGTGGCTACTACTTGAATTATTTTTGAATTTAAAAAAATAGCGACCTACTAGGTTTTCTACTTTAATAAAAGGTTGTTTAGGACATTGCACTGTGACAAGTACGACTTCGGAAAATACGATATATACTGACTTCATCGTTTTTTGTAAGCCTAGTGTTACTTACTGATCCATGTTCAGCTCCATTTGGTTTATATTGTATTATATATGTTTCATTTTGTTTAGCTCTCCAGCCTTTTATATCAAATCGTGCACGCTGATTAACAAGATCATAAACTAACTGTTCTGGTGCACCAGAATCTTGCCACTGTAAATAAGATGTTTGATTTAATATAGCAACAAATTGTTTTGGAAAACCTTTTGGTTTTTTTTCAGACTGAGATTGACAATGTTGAATAAGAAGGATGCTAATAGTAATAAAGATCGAAAAAGCGTGTTTTTGCATGTTTATTGTGTTTTGGGTGATGTGAGAAAGGATTTTACCCATAATTAAAAGGTTTACCATGCATTTATATAGGTTTTGAAAAAAAATTGGCATACAGAAAGAGAATAGCTTTGATTATTATGGCGCATTTTTTTTCCTTTGTCATGATGAGATTTATATACAGGTGGGACATCATCAATACATCTGACTCACTTATAGACACCTCTGAATGCATGGTCATGATGACAATCGGTGTGAGTGTTGAGTTTAGATGACTTTGAGTGTTAGAGAGCAGTCACAGACACACTCAAAACTAGAGCCAACTTATGATACAAATAAGACATATTTTTGAGCACATCTTATTTCATTTTTCAATCCTTTTATTTGATAAGTTAAATTCGACAGAAAAATCTGATAAATGTTCCGTAACAATGCCATTTCATGCCAGCGTCGAATCGAAATTTCATGGTCGAGAAATCGTTACGTTCAGTTTTGAAACAAACAGGTTCATTACTGAATGTTTGCCATTTGATCGGTACCTCATGACCATCTGCTAATGTACGAAACGTTTGTGTACATCCAATGGGTTCAATACATAGTTGATATGGTTTTGATAAATGGCTTTCAAATAAGATTGTCATGTTGTACAAAGGAGCATCTCAGAAAAGAGATATTGGCGAACAACGATCACTATATGCTAGACGATCGGCAATGAACGTAGCATTTTGACAGTTAGAGTAGATGAATTGTGAACAGTCTTCAATAGGACTAGATGGCGCTGTACAATCACCATCCTTAGGTTGGCAAAGAACTATGTTGGAAATAGAAATAATAAGTAGTGCGATAAGATATATTTTCAAGGACATGATAGATTTTTTCAAATATCAAGCCTTCTCTCCTTACCAATTTATATTCGAGGGCTTATTGATAACAGATGCTTGGATTACACAATATAAAAAGAAAATGCTTTTCTCCACACAACACGAATGCAGCAATTGTAAGCACCAGTTACTTTCATTTTCTTTCAAGGTACAAAGCACATGTACTTCTAAATACTGTCTACAGTTGTTAGATTTGTCAGAAAAAAATTCAAAGCATCAATCAGCTGAATCACTCTTTTTTGCCTCTGTTGAAATGATTTCAAGGATCAAAGGTGTGGGTGAATGTGGTGTATCAGGTGTGCATTTGAGGTGAGGGTATTGGGTGTGAATGTGGGGTGTTCACACTCACTTCCACACTTACCCACGCTCACACCTAGGGACGCAACGGTGACGATAGCCCTATGTACGGTTATCGGTTCAACTAAACCCCTCTAGTAATAGAAGTCCCTCCCCCATATTAGAAGCCTTTTCATTTTTAGAAGCTCCCTCCAGAGGGAAATGTGAAAGATGTATTAGAAACTCCCCTGATTTTAAAAACTTTTTGAAAATTGTTGTTGATATTTGCATCGAAAAACTCTCAAAATTCGTGATCTTAGGGTGAGAATATGTTTAATTTCCTTACTTATCAGCATAAAAATCTTGAAATGTTCTAGAAAGTCATTTGAACAACTCTTAAAAATCCCTCAAGTGCTCTGAAATATTTTGCCATCAAAAAAAAATTGAAAAATTTTAGGACTTAATATAAGCCTCCTACGAAACTTTCGAATGATGGACAAATTAGAAGCCCCCGGGGCTTCTGAACTGGGTAGGGATTTACGGTAGCCGTACCTACGACTACCGGTCAAACTATGATAACCATATCTATGGTTACCGGTCCAACTACGATAACTATACCTACGGTTATCAGTTCAAGTTGGTTGTCAGGAAAAACAGCATTTTATAAGAAAATACCGATATTTTATAAAGGTTGACGAAAATGAATCGGAATCAGAGAATCTAAATCTGAAGTCGGTTTTTAGAAATTTTGAGTTCCATTTCTCCATATAAAGTTTTTTTTCGAAAAAAATGGTTGTTGTAAGAAAAACGGTTTTTTCGCTGGGAACAAGTTCTGTTAAGAAAACCATAACTTTCAGAAAGAAACCTTTTCGTGGAAAATCCAAACTCAAAATTTTAAAAACCGACTTCAAATTTGGATTCTCCGATCCCGATTTACTCTCATCAACCTTTATAGAAGATCATTGTTTTCTCAAAAAATACTGTTTTTCGTGACAATAGGCTTGAAACGATAACCGTAGGTACGGTTACGTTAGATGGTTATCGGTTTGAACAGGTGAAACTTAAACGGTATACCGCTGAATGACGATTACCATTGCATCCCTACCCACTCGCTCGCTGATAGTGTCCTGCAGGGTACAACTTTTTCGTACCCTATACCCTACCCTGCGAGAATTTCGATACCCTGGCCCTACCCTACCCTACCTTACGCCCATCGTACCCTTACCCTACCCTACGCTCTTCTTACCCTAGCCCTACTCTACCACACAGATTTTGTATCTTGTACCCTATTATACACAAGATTTTACATTTAAGTGAATGTTAACAGGGTGTTTTTTTGCATTATATTTCAATAGATTTTTATTAATTTCTAACGAAAATAAAATACAAAATTATGACATAAAAGGTGTTTCATAAGTTACGGCCCTATTTGTAATTTTTCATTATCTTTATCATATTTGAAGATGAATACTCATCAACGATACAGTTTTGAAGAGTAGCATCTAAGCTATTACTCAATGTGGGTGGTTCTCAATCTACATCAAATCTACAAAAGGACGGCATTAGTGAAAATATTGAAAAAAGTTTATAAAATTTATTTTGTATCTTTTTCCTACAGAGTATGACATTATCAGGATTTCGTGAATGTCCCTCGCAACTTTGGACACATTAACTTGAATTTTTTTCAAAACATAGCTTGTGAAATTTTCTACAAAATTCAATAAAATAACGCTCCAAAAGAATAATTAGAAAACAATATTTGATCAACAATGCTACATTTCATAGAAACCCCACTCCTACTACCCAGTGAAAAATTTTAAGGATTTAAGCAGAATTATTTTACACTAAAATTAAAATCGATTGAAATCTTCGATTATAATCGACTATGATTGAATCAGAACTCGATTCTACTGCTTGTCTAGTGAAAATTTTCTCGATTAAAGTCTGATTGTTCTGGAGCAAAATCATAATTATAATTGGATTGGTAATTTCGATTTTGCTGCAGAATAATTAGACTTTAATCGGGAAAATTTTCACTATATAAGCAATAGAATCAAGTTTTGATTCAACCATAGTCCATTATAATCGAAGATTTCAATCGATTGTAATTTTGGTTTTGGTGCAAAATAATTCTGCTTAAATCCTTCAAATTTTTCACTGGGTAACGTTGTCTTTTTTCTACAAAGTCAATGATATCTTCTTTCATGAAGGAACAGGTTTGAAGCCATCCTAAGTTATTCATTTGGACAGTCGTTCATATTGAACTTTGTAGAAAATTTCATAAGCTATCTTTTGGAAAAAAATCAAGTTAATGCATCAAAAGTTGAAAGAGATGTTCACAAAATACTGAGAAGGTCATGCTCTATAGAAAAAAGATACAAAATAAATTTGATAAACCTTTTTCAATATTTTCACTAATGCAATTCGTTCATAGATTTGATGTAGATTGAGGATTATCCACATTGGATGATAGCTTAGATACTACTCCTCAAAACTATATCGTCGATGACTATTCATCTTCAAATATGATAAAGATAAGAAAAAAATACAAATAGGGCCGTTACTTATGAAACACCCTTTATTTTGAAACTTTCTTAAAAATAAAACATCATTAACAATCTTGCCGTTTTAATATTGTCTTCTTTCTTCTAAAACTCTTCCACTTGCATTGAAAATACGTTTACTTGTTGCTAAACTAGCTAGAATTCTTAATGGCCATTTTGCCCGTACACTAAGGTGTGGATAATGCAATGACCATTTCTGCCCTAACTATATCATAGATTGTTTTTGTTCTACCCTGACCCTACCCTACCCTGCAGGACTCCAACTATGAGTTACAATTGATGGTGTTGGATGTTGAATAATAAAAAATGAACTAGAAAAAGAAATCTTGATAATCATATATAATGAATGTCTGCATACTTGTTAAGCAAAGTTTCTAAATACTTGTTTAATTGTGGACCAATAGATGGTTAGTGAATTAACAATAGTAAATGTTTGGAAATGAGATCTTATCCTATATAAAAATCATTAAATAATAAAAAATAAAAGATTAAATTCTTTCTTATGATATACCAATTTTGTAGATTAATAATATTTATTGATTGTCGGATATTATCATCATTATAATATTGAAAAAGTTTCATACGATAGATTTGATCGAGTATACAAGCACTTTGATTTATTTGATTAGATTGTTGTATAAATCCAGTGTTCCGAAGAAATTTATTTATTTGTTGAATAAATTATATTTTATTAATATGAGTTTCATACTGATTGTGAAACAGACATTAATCAATTTTTACACATACTTTCACGAAGATGTCTTTTAATTTGATTTAAAATATGTTGAAATACATCATGATTCTATATATTCTCCTGCTCAAAATAAAGTATACATCTTATTTCTTTGATTATTTCTTTACAGTATTATGATTTCGTCCGACTTTTATATCACAGATACATATTCGACTACTCAACTTATTCTAAAAGTTTCAGCCCTATATGACGAGAATTGGTGGAGAAAACTTCTAATATGCTTTTTCATAAGAGCGTAATAAACAACTATATATACCAATCGTTGCTGATGAGTATTCATTTCGTGTTAAAAAAGTATGACTTATAATATTGTAATTTAAAATAAATTAACAGAGGTGATAGAACAACTTTATTAATTAGACGTTTCGACATATACTACGAAGTCATTATCAATAACGAGTAACCAACGGATTACACCGAACAAAATATATTATGGTTATTTTGCCTAATTATTTTGTTTATAAGTATGACTTATCCATACATCGTCAATCAACGTTGGTCCCTAGATAATATTGATGAAATAACGCATGAATTAATTCAATTATCATCAGTTTTACTTACCTGCATTGGCAAATAAGTATTTGATTGTTTTCATTTTCACATACTTTATGTTTGTCAAATAAAACAATATTTAATATCAGGTTTAGTTTTTCTTTCCTCGGCCTTTTTTTTGTTTATGGCTTCTGGAAACAACGCTGAGCAAATAAATAAGGCTGAAGCCGGTCGACTTTCATTCAGAAAAGAAAAAATATTTTTTCTGTTACTAACGAGCGCTTAAAAGAAAAAATGCAGATGTGCCTTGCACTATGGCTCATACAATAAATATTGTGTAAGTTGCCGTTTTATTCTGAGAAATCTGAAGGCTCGTGTTCGTCGTTTCCCAGTTCGAAACGGGCTTGTTTAAGTGAGAGCAAAAGTGTCGAGCATGGGTTTGTTGGTGTCTAGGTGTGAAATCTGGTTGTAGATTAGTGTACTGCAATTGAATTTTTGGACGATTGAGTATTTTTGAATCTTAGGTGTGCAGGAAAGTTGAAAGAATTTATTCGAGTGTGCATTTTATCTAGCTTCTCTGCTGCTACAAAACCGTGTATCATCACTGAAGTTGTCATGTAATCTGGCTGAGAAAGCCGCTTCATGATTGACCAATTGTGATCAATCATGATAGCCCCAATTAAGACGTTTGTAGTGCTATTTCCTCAGTCACTATACATGAAAACGTTAAGCACGATGTATTATTTTATAGCGGTAGAAAAAGTAAACTAAAATGCACAATCGAAAAGGGCGTGGGTATGGGTGTCGGGTGCGGGTAGAGTTGAAACCGATCCGGCTGGACCGGACAGGACCGGATTTTTGCCAGTTCATCATTAAAAAATTGTTGCTTGTATCCAAGAACTTTCTCTACTGAAAAAGGTGTCTTTATGATATTTTCACATCAGAAGAATGTGTTTGCGAAAGACTTGATGAATAGTGTGTCATTCATCTGACTGTAAACAGTTTATGTTTTCTTAATATCTTTATGGATTCCTTTCTCGTGTACCGCATAGTTTAACCTAGATCATATAATTTGTTTTTTGTTATTCTACTTAGACAGCTGCCAGAATCACGAAAACCAAATATTTCCACTGTTGTGCTAGATTTATTGTAAATTGGCTCTTTTTTCTTGAAATTAAGATGAAAAAAAAACAGATTTGATCTGAGTAGCTAACTTATATAGATATAGGGCTCGAAAAGTTCACGCACCTTGCTATAAAATATGATGGTAACAGTTTCATTCTCAAGTTTTACTTTCCCAGTTTCAATTAGGGATGGCGATCGCCTGTTAACTTTTTTTAATTTTAAATTTTTGCGAAGTTAAATGTCAAATAAATAAAAATTTTTTTAGAGATGAAAATTTAAATTTATTTAAGCCTTTTAAATTTACTCAAATCCAGTTTAAATCAATCTAAATTCAATATACACTCATTTAATTGAATTTAAATCCAACGGAATGAATGTAAATTGAATTTTATTTGGTTTCAATTGAAGTTATATTGGTTTAAACTAGATTTAAATAAATTTGAAAAATTTAAATGTATATAAATCCAATTTAAATTGAAAATCAATTTAATGTTTTTAAATTTATTTTTCGATTTGTTCAAATTTTGGTAAATGTAAGCTGATTATTCTTAATTCGGATTTCTGCACATGAATATTCAATTATCCTTCACCACCATTATATTGTGAATAGATACTTTTATGGCCGATTATTTTCGCCGAATTTTTGCCAGTTTGGTTGTAAAATTTATTCGGTCGGACTGGACCGGACAGAAAAAAGCTGTTTGGTTCCAACTCTGGGTGCGGGTATGGGTTGTGGGTGTGAGTGTAGATTATTTCATCACCCACACTCACACCTTTAGATGAACAAGAAGGATTGATTGAACAATTACTATCCGAAATGTGGCCTTCTATATTTAAATATTTAGATAAACAAAATATTCAACATTTAAAATTTGCTTTTCTCAATTTTTGTTTTCAATTATTGAAAATCTTTTGGCAAAGTCAAGAATTGAAAAATTTTGAACAAAACCGATTTAAAGAAAAAATTATTCCAGCAATCAATAGTCATTATGATAGTCAAGCATTATTTTGTTTCTCGGATTCGAATTTTTGCTATCAAGACATTGATTAATGTAGTCATTTTGCTGCCGTCTATGCTTTCTTTCTATTAGGACATAAAAAAGATTCAACAACTTATACGGTTCACCATGATCCAAATACACATGAAGTATGTGAAGTGAAAATGGAAAAAATTTTGTCCGATGTATTTTATAATCGAAACTTTTATGGTTCTCTTTATCGAGTTACATAAAAAGATGAAAAAAAACGACAACCAATGATTAGTTTCAATCATAGTGTTCATCGTACATATATAACAAATCGTCATCAATCACAATTTATTAGACAAGATCTTCTATCACGATTTCATCTTAAAATTAAAAGAATTTATGAATCAGATAATAAACAATCCGATTCGAACATATATAATGATGATCGATATGACAAATGCAATGAATTAGATCTTTTCAGAAGTCAACGAAGACATGTTTTGGATGATTGGCAAGCAATAATACATTAGGTTATCGTGAACAATTATTGAAACAGATCAAACAAGCTTCGGGTACAAGTCTATGTCAAATGTTATCTGCAAAAGATCATGTAATGAGAAATCTTGGTCTTTGTCCAATAGATTCAGATTCAAATCTAAATAAAATTCGAGATTTAATTGTTTCCTATAATCATCTTATATTCAATTTTAATACGCATCAATTGGTTGCTGAATGTTTATCAGACAAAAAGAAACTACATAGGTTGAACATTAATTCCCTTTCATACGAATGTGTTCAAACATTACAAAATTCAACTTCACAAGACAATCCAATTTTATTCTGTTGGGCTAATATTGAAATATTAGCTAAAACAACAAAAGGTTTCAATCATGCATCATGCCAATATTCGTATTTACCAATAGAAATCGATCAATTTTTATTTCTTGATTATATATATTTATTGCATGTTGACTTAGCCATTTATCAAAACAACAATCATGTATTTGTTTTAGCAGTATATGGTGAAATTGCTGCTCTGTTATTGATAGAGAAGTTCTACTGATTTGTTTTTTTTTTGAAATTACAATTCACAAATGAGAAAATGAAAATCATTGGTTAAATGTAAGGTTTCAAAGTTATATTTCGAGAAATAGATCAGACTATTGTTTTAATCGATGATATAGTCCATAAACAGATCTTATCGAGAGGGTGTGAGTGTAAAACAGGAAGACACCCACTCACACCGATCAATATCGTTCCAAGAAATTTACATCATAAAAAAAAGGAAGAAAATTAAATGTATTCTGATTCGATCATTATTTCACCGAAAACCAAAATGATGCCTTTTTTCAAGTTTTCTTAAATGTAAATAAATATATAGTGACTTCACCAGTTAATACCATTAACGACGATTACTAATAAACATCGATTTCAAACATATTACGTCATCATTAAAAGAACGAGCAAAAAAGATTGAGTCGGCCTATAAATACAGATGTTTGCGCCTCTCTTATATTCACTCTGTTTTTTTTTTATTCAAGTCTCATGGCTTCTAACGATGAATATGAAACTGTTCTGATTGACAATGACACAGATGCTCATTTATGTGCAAAGCTACTTGCAGAAGAATTTGCTTCAAACAATGCTCTGTCGATTTTAAATCAATCAACAGCCGAAGACATTTATAATGAATGGTCTTGGCCGTTATTGATCGATGTGCTTGATGAAAAATTATCGTTTCTTACACGACATCGTCCAACAAATGAAATCGCTGCAACAATTATATCCCATGATCTATTTACATACTGTGAAAAGAATCCATTTGATGCAACTAGTCCTCCACCCTATTATCCAACCGTTGATTTACATGATGAAATGTTTCATCGATTTGTTCAACATGACTTCGATCAAGAATTAAAACCGAATATGGTTCTCTTTATTTCAGCTGTCGTAACACAATTCAAACATACAGGAAAAAAGCTAGCTGCTCAATTAAGTACTCATGCATGCAAGCATGCAAAGGATACAAAAGGATTTCGATATGCATTCGTACAAACATCTAGTGCAGCAACACGTCATATATATAGTAAAAAAATGAATGGAAAAGAAATAGCCATTGTTGATCCAGCAACTTGGATATGGAAGAGGACAGATGATGTCTTATCAAGACCATTCAAAGATTATAAAGGTGAACCAGTTGCCAATATCCTTGTTGATCTAAGCGAACTAAAATAATATCGACGAAAATCTGTTGGGTTTTTCCATTAGATCGAATCTAGAATTTTTAATACAAAAAAAAATGAATTGATGTTAGAATACTGACAGAAAATGTTGGTATCTTTTGAATTGTTCTAATATATTTGAAAATATAAATATTAATGATATTGTGATTTATGGTCTTGTATTCTGTTAGTCTATCAATATGATTATTATCATAAATAGTGCCGTAGAGTGTAGGTGAGATCTGTGACTGAGAACAAACAAGCACTCACACCCACACTCGATGAATACTATTGTACAAAATACTGAGTGATCAAGTTTTATAGAAAAAAACATCTCTGCATCTTTTTGAGACGTCCCAAGCTCGAATGAATGAGCAAATGCAGAGAAAAGTGTAAAATACTAAGAGTACCCTCAAAAACTGACTTTTTGACCAAATACCAAAGGGGACATCACTTATATACTATATCATCTTTTCACAGAGAAGTCAAAAAGAGCTAATATTTTGAATTTAGCTATGGTTTGACTCGACCTTTCATTTGAGATACCTAAATCAAAAATCAAAATTTTATCGGCAGCTGGCTTCTGGTAAAATTGATTAGTGGTCTCACGAACTCTCTCTTAAGTATTGTTGTAAAAATAATGAGCAGCTGTTTTAGTCAACAAACGAAATATTTTACCAGTAATTCTTATGCAAGAAACGTTTTCGATCATCGCATGTATCGGTATTTGGATTGGACAATATGTATATTCTTTTCTGATAGGATCTCTTATCGAATAGTGACAGTAAATAGTCGCGAGAAGAAATGGAGAAAATATGAATGTTGAACATTTCAATCATGATGTTTAGTGTTAATCTATTTCAATAGAAGCAAGAAAGAAAGAAATAAAGGTTTTGAATGATAAATAAGACTTCAAATATTCAATTTTTAAATGAATGTTTCTCTCTCAATTATAATCAAATATGCTTCCGTAATAATATCGTTTTTTTTATACAGAAGGATTTTGTAAAATTAGAAATAGTCTCTAATTTAAACTAAGATATCATCATCGCCACAAGCAGTATGACATGATATTTTTTTTGTTTCATCATTAGTTAGACATATAATATATGTACAAGTATATGCAACAGTACATATAACATCTAATACACATATATACATATTGACCTCTATGTATACATACGAAAGGAAAGGAAAGATGTAATACCATTTCAGAGCACAAAAATTTCAAATCCGCCTGTTTCGATAAAGTTACTCACTATGCCTACACTCATTTGTTGTTCGTGATTTTAATAGCAACAATTGATTAGATTGTCATGCTTAATACAGAAGGTAACGATGTTGTTGTACATGATGACTACAGATTTCGTAATCACTTTAAGAGAATGACAAAATTGATCGATAGTCATACACGTGTCAAGGCAAGAGAAGGAAGAAAGATGATTTTATTTGCATCATAAAAACATGCAGGAAAAAAAAGAGGAGCGCTGGGAGGAATCGAACCCCCATCATGCCTATATGGGAGGAGAACAGTCTGTCAGCGGACCATTTCTAGTCATGAGTATGACAAACCTGCTGTTACATGCTTTACCGTTAAGCTACGGCGCTCTGAATTTCAATAGAAATTTTCTTCGTATATATGTCATACAACCTAAAATAATCATGAAGTCAGACACCGCAATAATAATTTGATTGAAACTATAGCAAGGCAGAATATTTTTCAAAAGAACGAAGAAATCTATCGCGAATACATTGAAACCGCTAATTGTTGGTTGTGAAAACAGCATAACCAAAAGAATGAATTATTCTAATCATATTCTTCAAAGATGAAATGTTTGAGACGCGGTTGGACAATGCTAGTCATTGATTCACTCTCAAAATCAATTATCTTGAAATTATTCTTAATTGAAGTAAACAACATTTGTCCTAGAGGAAAATCACCATGAACCCGAATGTGGCACGATTGAAAAGAACGTAGTTCGAAGGTAGTGAGAAAATTCGACAAAAATCTTTTAGAATTTAAAACATTTTTCGCTAAAGATAATCGACAAGATTCTCGAGTGAACATTTCGAAACTAAAATTAATGTTCGAACACTTCAGTTTATAAAGACTCACATGCATTTTAGCTATTCGATATTCGATGGACGCAACTTTTTAAATTAGGATATTTTTGTGATGAAGCTTCATTCGTGAAACTAATGACCATCGACCAGCAATTGTACGATTTTGGAATAAATTTTTGCACAAACATCAAAGTTCAATTGAATAATATTGATTCGAACAAAAGGTAATATGAGAAAAAGTTGGAATATAACTTAAAAAATGGGTAAATTATCTAATAAATGTCCAATAAATTGGTTGAATCAATCGATAAAATATTGGATGATTGATTGAAATCGTTAATATTTTCGAAATGACTATATTTGTATTATTTAAAAAGGAGTTATATATCTCGACTAGATCTATGAAAATCACTGGATGTTCACTTCCAAACACGCCACAGCTTGACGGACAAAACCATGTTTTTATGATGTCTGCTTGCTCATTAACATAAGTTGAAGACATTCTATTAAGAGGCAAATGTAGTACATAATAACGAGAATTTCTCACAATGTATGTCCTTCATGTATCTTATTGTAGTGTGTGAGTGTGGATATAGATATACTTGAAAAGAAAGCTAATCAATACCTTATATTATTCTTGTTTGAATATTTATCTGCATATAATAGCTATCATTTGCCAATATCGATGGTCATTTCTCAAAAGAACTACCTATATATCATGTTAAAAAGAAACGAACTGCTTCAAGTTGAAATGATAGATAATAAAGATGTTGCTTTTCTGTATTGATCAGTCATCATCAATTTGAAATATATAAATTTGAAAAAGCCTATCCAGTGAAAAATATTTCTAAAAATAACGAAAGAGAATACATTCATAAAAATATAGAGACTTGTCCTTTACATGAAGAATGTGTTCTACAACTTAGCGAACGTTTTCACAAACAAAAAGAAAAATTCTGAGTCTAAAGGAACTCATTCTTTACTGTTCCACACTAGTACGGAACGCTTTCTTCTCAGTTCAAAAATCGTTCTCTATCTGGATAGAAAGCGTTCTGAACCGTTCCGTGAGCCAATAGAACATGTCTCTGCCCATTCTATTTCGAAACAGTCAAGATAGGATTCCATCGAAATGAGACCGCTTTCATCTAAATTTAACGTCACTTTTGATTCAAAAATGACAGCTCTGAAGTACGACACCCTGAAACTGGTACCAAAAGTGGTGGAACCTTCAATTAGTCATACTTTACAACTGACAGTCCTGATTCCAAAAAATTTGTTTTAATAACAGTTTGAGCTACGAAAAATTAGAGAACGCCATTGGATAGAGCTCGTCGAGTTGCACCAGAATCGATCTTTCAAAAAATTATGTCTGAACTTCTCTTCGAGAATTCTTATAGTAAATCTAAATTCAGGCAATAACGACCAAGAATGCATTCCAAAAAAAGTTATATTTTTTTTTTGAAAAAAGAAAACGTTCCAAAAAAGCTAGAACAGTTAAGAACGCATTTCAAAAAACATGGAATGTGTTCTTAATGGTTCCATTTTGGAACGCTTTCCACCCCATGTCACAAAAACAGAATCAGTTTTAGCGGTAAACCGCGGTTTACCGGCAAAAACCGCCGGTTTACCGCGGTGTTTCTATGTCAAGGAGCCGGTAACCGGACCGGTAAAACCGCCGTTCACCGCCGGTTTTTCATCACATGGGACTTTTGTTGGAACGTCTTCTTTTCTTAAAAAAAGGGCTTTTAATTTTACGAAACGCGTTCTTTCCCGTTCTTTGAAGCAAATATTTGTCACTGGGTATACCACACTTTTTTGATTATTTACTTTCTTTCAAGTTTTATATTAATTTTGTTCAATGAACTGTTAGTAATATTATATTATTTCAAAGTCTACAGTGTCCTCTAGCAAACTTGTAAGGACGGTGATAAAATAATAAAAATGCGTTTCAGAGAAAAAGATGATCCCATAAACGTCATTCTTCAGTCTGAATTTGACATAATAAATCTATAATGAATTTAATATTCGATAATCATTCTTAATAGTTCAGTTAACGTTGTTTCTAAAAAATCAAACAATATGAAATAAAAGAATATATTTCATTGGAATAAACAAGCAAATGAGAATCCATTTCTTGTGTAAATTAAAATTTGAAAAATCACAAAACATATCATAGTGATGAAGATATTTACAAATTTCATTTTAAGTACTCATTCATTTCGTTATTTTATAGAATCGACAAGTCATTATAAACTACTCTCTACATATGAAATATATTTTACAAAAAATAAAATAAATTCTATCGTCTATAAGTTTGATTGTATATTTCTGACAAAATTGTTCAAAATCAATTAAATTTTTCAATTTATCGATCATGTTCATATTTGTTTGTGAAATTTTAAGACAAAGTAAAGATAGATTTGTGATATAATTAGTATTTTTCATTAAAATAAATCGTACAACATATTCAGGACAGACACCATTTATACAATCTATCTGAAAATATTTCATATGAGGACAAAGATCATGAGTAAATTGAACTTGTGCTAAGTCACTTATTTGCTTAAGATTGTCTTTAATAATTTTGTTATTATTTAATACGATACAAAATATTCTTGTTTCTTCAATAGATAAACATCTTGGTTGTATCATTGCTAAAGATGATATTATTAATGAATTAAGATTAGGTAAACATTTTCTCATATTGATTAGTGTACCAATAAAAATTTCGTTAACTGTAATATTTAAACAAGTAATCGATGTCATAGATAAAATTGGACTAATTATATCAATACATGACCTATCATTATCAGTTTCATAGAGATCAGCAATGTTTAATATTATAGAAGAAACAACAAAATCATATTTCTCGGATATAATATTAAGTTCTGTAATATTTTGTTTTGATTTCATCAAAGATGTTTTCATTATTTTTCTTATCGTTTTGAAATTTGCCTTGAATTTTTCTAGAAAAAAAACAAAAAAAAAATTTATTTTCAATCAACCTGTATGGAAGAATAGAATAGATAATAATTTTATTATAGATATTTTCTGTATCAATAGAAATTGTAAAAAACCATTTCCGATTTCTCCAAAATAACAAATTGAATTCATTTAAGTTTTCATGATAAATAGTTGTTTCCAATTCTTCATATGTAAACTCAAATATATTTAAATGTAGTAAATATTGTAAAATAATTTGTTCCCATTGATTAACATCTAAATAAGTCACATCTCTAAAAGTATTAATATGTAATATTTGTAATTGAGATGATACTTTAGTGAGAAATATTGCTAGTTCATCAAAATCTATATAACATTTTCTAATAGAAATATAAGTTGAATTGTATATCATATTAAGGTTATTTTTGTTAATATTTTTCATTGATTCACCCAGTTGTTGACAAGTTAAATGACAAATTTGAGGTGTATATAAAAGTATAGTCATTAATTCATCGAGAGTACAACGATGATCAATAAAGAGATATTTAATACTACTAAATTGCTCATTAGTTCTTATTGATAAAGGAATAATAAGCCGTTGATCAGACATTGAAAGTTTATTATGTTTTATCATAGGTAGATTAAAAATTATTCGATAGATATTACTTATCTTTTTGAGATCATCATAGTAAAAAATAGATAATGAAAATAGACGAGACAAAGATATCAAACTTAAAAGAAGTGAAATGAGTTCATTTGATTTGATATTACCTAATATTAATGATTCAAGTCGATTAAATGATGAATTATAATATTAAATATGAATTATAATGATGAAAATTAATCAAAGAAAGTGAAATAATTCGATTTTTATTTTGAGCAACAATATAAGCAGAATAATATTGTAGAATAGCTTTTGAATGATAACAAAATTCAATTTTAAATTGAAGCGATGGACTTTGAAGTAATGTATGAAAATGAATATTAAGATTTGAAAATGCTTTATATAATTCACAACCATTAAGATACTCAAAAATTTCATAGAAAAGTTCATTTGATAAATTTTCAAAATAATTTTTTATTTTTCTATTAAAAGAAAAGAAATAAATCAAGTAAAAAATATCCTTCATTTTTCTTACTTATGATCACGTGTTTCTATATTTAATAATAAAAAAGGTAAATAATAACATATCATATTTAATGATATCATTATGTAAAACTTACCTCGAAATATTTTTATGTCTTTTTTTAAAAGATTCACTATGAAATAGTCAACGTTTAAATTGAAACATATTTGTTTGAAAATTATAAAAATTTTATCTAAAAAAAAGTTCATAATTTTATAGAATTGAATAACTATTTTCAATTGTATATTATATCATTTTATATAGAAAAATAATAAACATGTGTTAATGTATAATTTATGTTAAAGGTTCCAAAAATCATTTCATATGTGAAACATTAAAAGAAGAGAATTAATTTATTTCTTGCTTATTGTTATTTTGTTACGGATGAATCAATGAGGGTGTCGTTTTATTTCTGCTTTTTTTTTCGATTCTTTTTATACTCACTATCTCGAATGATTCATTTTCAATGGTTTTTTTTCCAATGGTAAAATCCTGGTATTGATTTTTTCGATATCTAGCAACAACAATGATATAATTGTCGTTGAATAAACATTTTCATATAGTTTAAAATAACAATTTGTTTATTTCGTATATTTAAATTTTTCAATTATTATGGATTAAAAATTATTTATTTATTGTATTGTATAGTCTAATATAGAATTATTATAATTAAAACCAAATTTCTTGTTTCAATGAGACAATTAAAATAAAACTTTAGTTTGCAAAGCGTTACACTACCTCATAAAAATCGTATCTACAATTTGAAGAGTTTAGACAAGTTAGAAAATATCTAGTTGAGATAGGAAAAGAAAAGTTGGAATATTCTAGCCTTGATATATTATTACCATATAATAAGAGTATGAGTGTCAGTGAGGCTATTGATATGGGTGTGTGTGTTGTACGTTAAGATGACACTAACAACCACACTAGCGTAGCCATCTCTTCCATGTTTTTGTGGAATAATTCGACTTATTAATGTTTTTTTTTCTTCACTATTGTGTATTTCCAGCTTTTTCATTTGAGAAATTTAAGACAATACAATCTGTCAATATTAAGTTAGTTTTGTTATCAATTTCTCTAGTCTATTATCTACTGTATGAAATCATTCTGCATTCTATTCTGATGAGCAATATTCAGTATGGAAAATTTCATTATGATATGCCTACGAAAATATTCATGTTCTTTATGCATTATTTATTACGTTTTGAAATTTTAAGAATAAATAAGTGTTATACAAAGAAGCGATAATTTATTTAAGGGTGTACATGTAATTGAAGAGAAGAAGTAGATCTGCATTCGAAAATTTTATGCATTGTATGTACCACATAATCATCATCACAACTGAGCGTATTGTTAAAGATCATCATTGGAGAAATACTGTAATATCCATATGAATGAGTATGATGAAAAGTTCATATAAATATATCAATGTGTGTGTGCATGGCACGCTGCGACTCGAAGACTCTACCTTCTATCACATCCTCAAGTGATACACTTTATATTACGATGAAATTTAGATTTTCATCGAGCTATTTCTCATGTTAACTTTGAGATATAGAGTATATCCCATATAAAAAAAGACGGCAACAAACCTGATTTTAATTGATGTTTTGCGAAATAAAAATTGAATGAAATGGTATCAGATTTTTTGGTGGTTTTTTTTTAATTAATTTTATTTACTATGACTATAAAACGTGATTTTCTCCAGTTTTAACTTAGAACCTACAATTTTTGATTATTTATTCTCACTCCTTATATCAACAAATGATAAGTGTAGTACTCATCCTGTCTTTGATATACTCTCACATACAACACCAATTCATAATTACATGTGTAAGCCAAAATGCTAATAAATCAGATTAATACTAAAGATATACTTTCTATAAAATGGACTTTTCATCTTCTCTGCTTTGATTTAATTCATTTTTTATTTTGATAAATAATTTTTCTAGTTGATATACTTCAAGTAAATAAATAATTCTATTTTGAATTGAATTATGAAATTTTCATTCTAGTTCTTCATATTGTATGTCTTAGTTTATTTCACTAGACTTTAAATGTAATTATGAGTTAAATTAATAAATTTTAATTGTTTAACAACAATATAGAATAACACTCATTACATCATCAATATCGATTTTTGAAAAGATTTATTTTTTCAAACTAATACTTAATCAAATGTAGAAATATATTTTTGACGTAGTCTAGGTTATTTCTAACAACACATAGTTGTTATTTATAAGATCATACGCAAAGAAGATGAGTCATGTGTTTTTTTTTGGTATTGAGAAAAAAGTAAAATGTTAATTAACGTGATGTACAGTTGTGATTTCATCACTTCCTTAATAGAAAAACTACAAATGATATGACTTTAACCAATATTTCAACCATGAATTGAAGAAAATAACTATATGATTTTATTATAGTTTTGATAATTAGAGTGTGACAAAACTTCCTATTTTCCATATATAAATATCTCTCGAAAAAAAAAACAAAAATATATCAGACAAGTCAATATCGATATTAGAATTTCAGTCGATAAAATTTTTCCTAACAAACAATAACAAGTTATTCATTATTTTATAACTATCCATATGTAAATCATGATGGAAACTATCATGGATTTGTTTATTCACATATGATTCAATCATCGTACATGCAAGATATTCTTATACTGTTGTTTTTAAACATTCTTAAAAAATATTTTTCTTTTGTTTTTTATATCTAGTTCGATATGATAGAAGTTTCTTGAATAGCATTTATAGTGATACAACACAAACTATTAGGACGGATTATAGAAATGTTCTCCATACGGCGGGTAATATAGCGAAGTTTGGTGTGAGTACTGGTGTCAGTCTCGTTACAATTAGCCTTGCGATAGTATCTATTGTCTTAAATATATTGGGTCAAAATTAATATATATATATAGTTTTGGTTATGATTTCAACTTATAATTTTAATATGAAACATTTCTCAATGACGAAGTTAACTTCTTCATTCATTTTAATATAAATTGATGAAGAAGGTATTTTCTTCATCAATTTTTTAATATTATTATTTATATTACTATTTACAGTTTTATGGACAAATTTATTTTTGAATAGTCATTTTTTAATGTTGTTTTCTTTTTGTAACGATATCGTTTTCAAATATATTTCTCTTTTTTTTTGTTGACAATTGATATGCCCTAATGAAAATCCTCATCAAGCGAGTAAAAATTGTCCACATGAGTAATCGAACTACTCATGCGAGTGTTCAAGCAATATTATGTGTATGAGTACTATTCACATACTCTGACGAGTAGACATACGAGTTTTTCTCTTACATAATGACTCATAGACGATCACGTAAGTACTTAGTGTAGTACTCATGTTCGTTTTTTTTTGCTGAATATTTATCAAAGAAGTGATATACTTTTGATTCAGATATGTTAATAGAGATTCGTTCGAATCTAATTTTCTAAGTTTAAATAAGATGAGTGATATCAAAATGTCTATTTTAAGTTTCGTTGTGTAATAATCAACAATGTATGTTTATTTGTAATCAGACTTCTCTGTCTCATAGAATAGTATTTTCCATATATATATATGAAAAGATATTATTTAAAAAAGTACACAATAGATATAGAATTGTAGGACAAAAATGGTTGCTGATGATAAAAAACTAGTGATCGTACAACTATCTAATCCCTTGTCAATTAGATATTTTAACACAAATAAATTTTCATGTTTTTTTAATCGTCTAGACATATAAATAATATTTTCTTTTGTTTTATATTATATAAAAATCAAAAAATATTTCTCTAGCTTTTTCATTTATTTGCAAAAAATGTATCAAAAGAAAAGCGATAACTATGGTTATCATATTCATTATCTTCTCGAATAGACGTCTCTAGTTTTGGTTATTTAACTTTATATCTAAATAAAATAGACGTAATATAAAAGTGATGAGTAGAACGTGGGCTTCTGAGTATTTTACATAAATCACTATAGTAAACAAAAATATATAGACTTTGTCATGAAATATTGAGTGTCACACTGCAAATATTTAATTTCTGTTGTTAGGTTTTAGCACGAGTACTATTGACGAATACTCATGAGTATTCTATGAATACTCGTTTCTTGGATAATTTCGTTTTACTACGATGATTATTATGTTTACTGAATACTTTTTTATTAAATATGAATAAATTTGCTCGATAAAAACGAATCCATAAATGTAATGAAAATTGTAATCAAATTACTATTCACTGTATTTAGTACAAAAATCAGTGATTGAATTTGATTCAACCCATGGTGTGCTTCATCAATTAGAATTCATCAATTTGTTCTTAAAATCCTTCTCAGATTTGTGAAAGTGAGAAACTTATAAATATTGAAAAATTAAAAAATCAGTTCGATTTTCTGTTAATTTTTTTACTGCAATATGAACCATGTTGAATAATAATCGAGTTAATGCGTTTTCATTGATATTGTCAAATTTGAAAATATTCTTTTAACAAATCGATTGTTTATAATGACAAATGAAATATTTATTTCGTGTCGAATATTTATTGATAAATTAAGTTTTCATATAAATGATTGCATACATATTTCATTTACGAGAAAAATAAGCTAATCAGAATAAAGATCCACATAAAACTGCTGTGTTCTGTTTGCATTCGTCGTTCTGCTTTTTGCATTATTTGAAGAATGGCGTAATCTTGCGTAATTATATTTCTAAAAAAAATCTGGTCCCTATGAGGATCGAACTCATGACCTCCGCGTTATTAGCACGGCGCTCTAACCGGCTGAGCTAAGGGACCGATATATTTTACTACTAAAAATAATTGATTGGTAATCCCTGTGACCTTGACATTCAACGTTTTACAAAACTGAAAATGAATATTGATCATATTTAAGTTTTAACTCGAATTTTAATTTAGAATAAGTAGAAGTTACACTATACACTCTTGTCTGGTCATTTATTTATAATTACCACTAGATGAATTTGTTACGGTGTATTATTGAACATTCTACATACTATTCTCATTGTATGTACTACATCAATTTCATGACAACTGAGGATATTATTGAAGACCATCACTGGACTAATGTTAGAATGTCGATGTGAATGAAAATGATCAGAAATCTAAATAAAGACTTCAATATAGCCGTTTCACTTACTCCTAGTGCACTCACTGCTCTCTAAGAATAAGCTCTTTCGGCAACAACCATATGTAAAATTTGAAAATTTCAGTAATAGGAGAGGAAAAACATAATTCAGTTTAAATGTTGAATATAAATAAATATATATTGTTTTTATCTGATATGTCTCTGTTATATAAAGGAGAGATGTTTTTATGGGTTCTGTGTTGATTGAAATGAGTTTTATTTTCGTTCATGATTTATAGATGCGATAGAATCAGTGTAAATCAATGACTCAATGTTGAATTGAATGATGAGAAGATATATTGTAATTTTCATACTATTTGTCTTTGTTTATATGATTAATCTTTAAACAATAATTTAATTTTAATCATTAATTTTTAATTGATAATTAATAACTATTCTGTTTACATATAATAATCCTATTTAGGAATTTGAAGCTTTTAGTTATACAATTTTTTTATTGTGTAATTAATATTAAATGAATTGCATGAATATATTTTTCATTTAATCTATGCTATTTCACAATAATACGATTTTCATCGTATATTAGTGTCATGTCATAGATAAAGGTGAGCCATGTGAGATTTTTTTCATAGCAGAAGAAGAAAATAGTTAAGTGTGTAATGTAAAAATACGATGATACACATGACTAATTACACCGTGAATAAAATAAAAGTAAATGATGGTTATTTACCAATACTCGAATAATCAGACGAAGATCACAAATATATTATTTGATTTTGGTTATTATGATTGAAATGTGAGGAACCTTGTATATTTCACTGTACGAATATCTTTAGAAAGACAATGAATATTACTTATTGATATTTTTATGTAAAGATATTTAATTAATTATTCTAATGTGAAAAATTGCACGATGAAAAAATTAATTTATTCATGAATGTTAATATAATCGTGTGAAAGTAAATAAGCACTCACATCCAAACTCACACTCTTCAACAACAACTCTGTCACAACTGAGAGTCTTGTTGAAAATCATCATTTGACTAATGCTAGAGTATGACCTTGAACCTCAATAAGAACCTCACTCTAACCATCACATTCTTTTCTACGGTGTTTATGATTTCCCTAGAATAAGGTCTATGAAAATCTCCTATCAAGGTGTTAATAGATTGGGAAATGTAAATAAAAAATTCCAATCCGTACCTTATAACCTCGAATGACAATGCTTCATATGTCAATGTAACTTAAATTATCATGGATTTGTTTTTCATCCAAAGTCAATTAAAGTTTTCAATTCATCGAACAGTTCTATATACAAAAATTACAAAAAAAACACGAAAAATTGAGAACAAGTTGACATAAAACATATGAGAAAGATTAACGACAAATTTTTCATTGAAAATGATCAAAGAATTCGATCTATAAGTGACAGACAAGAAAAGAAAGATTATTCACTAAATAAGCAGAATATAAATAAAGACACTGCTTTTATTATATGTATTATTGTTACATTATGGCAGAGATTTTTTTTTCATGCCTTTTATATTGACTAAAATGATTATTATTATGATCGATAACTTATGTCTCATATAAATTCTTTGATATTGAATTCAATGATAAGATTTTTATTATTATTATTCGAGATGTTTGTGTCTTCATTTATTCGATTAAAATTTAAATAATAATATTAAATTGAATCAATAGTGGCAAATTAACATTGAGCTATTATTCGCTTAGTATGCAATAAAACTATTTTGAATATCAAGCCTTTTTTCTAATTACTATTAAATCAAACGTACGCATATATTTTTGACTCATTTTATATTATATTTAGAAAACCTGACTCTTATTCAATATGATGACTACGAAATACTATGCAAAGGTAAATCATGATATTTTTTTTATCATAAACAAAGAGACAATATCATTGTGTTATGTTCAGCAATGATTATCGACATGATTAGTCACTTCCTAAATAATGTATAAGTAAAGAATTGGAAATTTCATCAATGCACGAATACAACGATGAAAGACATATTTACGTTATTTCATAATCATTGTGATAATTGGAGTATTCCGAAGCTCTCTTTTTCAGCATATAAATATTTGAAAAAAAAAACAGATGATTGCATTCGCTAAAACAATACTTATTTACAAATTTCGATCTTCAAAAATTATTGTGACAAATCATGAGAGGTTATCCATATGGAAGTTATTATGGATATGGTTATCCAGGAATGACTCAATCATTGTTCATGCCAGGTATTCACATTAGTTCAATTTACAAAAGTCTTTTAAAAACTATTTTTTATTTTTTTGTTGTAATATTCAGGTGCTTATTCCGGAGGATTCTATAATGGAACCAATTATCTCGGAACACAATATGGTAGAACGGATTATTGGGGTGGTATCGAAAGAGGAGGTAGACTTGCGAACATTGGTTTAGGTGCCTTTGGAAATGGCCTCAAAATCGGTGCTTCATTTTTTAGTCTAATGAACAATCTATTGTTGTTTTAATTGAAATTATATTTTTGGCAATTATCTTCATTATGATATTAGAAAGACAATGAACTTTTACTTATTGACATTTTCTAATCGCGATATTATTTTATAATTTTAATATGAACAATTGTTTGATGAGGAAGTTATTAACTTCCTCATCAATTTTATTATAATTATTTATCTTAATATTTTTCGTTATTTTATACAAAGATTATCTTTGACTTTGTTTATTTTTTTTTGTTATATGTGTGTAACGATATCGTTTCAATTATATTTAATTTTGTTTATTAGCAATTGATATAATTATTATCTATTTGGTGGATATGGAATGTGTGATTGTGTGGAGAGAGATCCTAGTACTAAGACAAATCGATAACATTCAACATCAATTGGATTACAACTGAGAGTCTTGTTGAAGATCATCATTGAAAAATTGTTTGAGTGCGAATGTGAATTAGCCTGACCTAAAGTCGCAAAATATGTTGCTGTAGATATGTTAGAATATACGACTACAGAGTTCAAATCCACAGGCACATCCTCACATGATACACTATATATTAGATTAAGACTTAGATTTGTCATGTAAACTCAATTTTACATGGATTTCAACTCAATATACAAATTTTTCAAACTGTTATGCAAAAAAATTTCAAAAGAAACCATCAATATTTGACACAGATTGAGATGAAACACATACAAAATATGCAAAGACCTATTCGTCCTTGAAAAATGTCAAAGAATTCAAAATTCTAATCATAAAAGAAAAACAATTGTCAATGTAAAGTTACAATATAAATGAAGACACTATTTTTATTACATGTTTCTCGATTATATTTGGTAGAGAATTTTTTCATGTCTATTTATATTAATATAATTGATGACTTATGTGTTGGATTTCTAGTCAAACATCCTGTGATATGCGCTTGAAGTATTTGAGCATCTGAAACAATAAAGACATGTGCTTTGGACTCACCGTGAGGTAAGTATTGTGGTCTTGTAACGATTTCAAGCGAGTATAAACTGTTTGAATATTGAAGATCTTTTCTTTTTAACGCTTTCGTCATTTCTTCCATGTAGATGTCATTAGTCATTCACTGCTTTACGTGCTGAGTGTATAAGAAGCAGAAATGAAAAGATGAATAGTTTTCTGTATAAGATAATTCATAAAAAATGAAGAACATAACATATCGAGATCTAGCTATCTTTCGAAGTTGGTAGTGAATTGTAAAAGATTTTCTCTGTGTTGTTCATTTTAAATGTCTAAAAAAGACTCTTTAACAACATTTATATTTGAAATACAAACGGAAATGGTCATAGACTTTCAAAAGTATATAACCTTTGAAAATTGTTTTTACTCAATAAGAAAAAAACAAAATATACAGTGACGTATTGAATTTGCGAGCTCTATCTTTCTATCATATTCAAAATAGAAAATAACGGAGTGATATATTTGTGACCTTATTTGACGGTGTCTTCTGTTGATTTTCAATCAATGAACGTCCTTTTATGAGTATCGTCTAATGAAATAGTCAGTCCTACATCAAATGTATGTGATTGCCAGTTGCTTAAAGTTCAATCCAGTAAAGTTACATGTTCAATCATCAATATAGTCATTGCCGTATCTTTTGGATTTTCACTGGCTTTAAAAATCGCTAATAAAATTTCCTAACATTTAGTATCATCGAAATCGTGTAAAATATGTTTTAGTGCATAGACATCTACTGATGAAACAGTTGATAAATCATTCATATTATCAGAGACAAAACTCCATCTCTCTGTATGTATTTCGAAAAATATTTTGATTATAATTGTTTTTTTTTTTTGATGATTAGAAATCAATGATAATCCGAATTTGATCAGATTTAAAATGTCAAAAAAAACTCAGTTTTAATCGATTTTTTTTCCTCATAAATAGTTTCAAATTGAGATGGTTTAATTATTGTATAAATCGATTAAAATCAATATTAATTATTTTCAACATAGCAATAATCAATTCGATTTAATTAATTGATGAAATAAAATTTCTAAGTGCAAAGATTTTGGAAACTATATAAAATTTAAGAGCGTGCATATCAACTATAAAAATTGTCATCAGTTAGATTTATTCATTTATTTCGCATCTTTCTTTTTTTGAAATAAATTATTTTATTATTTCTGACAGTATATCAGAAACCAGCAGCATATTATTTGACGGAGAATTCGCTTCCATTGGTTATTGCTAGAAAAAAAAACTCTATTTTAATTGATTATTTTATTGAATTTTATAAGAATGAGACGTATTTGATCAATTTTTGATTTAATTTTTTGACCGTTTTTTTCACATGGGTATATAAAACTTCTCAAATAGTTCTATTGGTATTCTAATTATTATGTGTAATTCTCTGTATCAATGAGTTTACTATTTTACATTAGCTATGGGTGTACTTTGTTTTTGCATACTAAAGTAATTCATTTGAATCATAGTTGAATGAAACATTTCTCTTTAATTTCATGCACAACATCAATACCAAACAGTCTTTTCTTTAGTAAGCAGTTACTTTCATTTATAGGTTGCTTTCTTATTTTCATGACATCTATATAAATATATATATACATGTGATATTAAAAGTAATCGATGAATCATTCATGTGTGCATATGTCATACATAAAATGCACGTAGGTATACAGTAAAAATTGGAATATACCCTTGTTTACTTGTTTTTCGTTACCTTCAACATTATTCATTGCCTATTTATAACATTCTATAGAAGTATAAGTATAGTAAAAATCATTTATTTCTATACGATTAAAACATGTATATCAATCGACTACCTTATGAATTTCTCTTACTTATCTTAATATGCAATATTTTTATGACACAATCCGAAGAAATTCCATATGATACAATAGTTTCTTTTGGTGATTCAAATTCCGATACTGGAAATGTTTATAATTTAACAGGTTTTAAATGGCCTGTTGTTCCACCTTATTATAATGGTCGATTTTCTAATGGAAAAATTTGGATAGAAAAATTAGGCATATCTAATCTTATTAATTATGCATATGGAAGTGCTACTACTGATAATGATTTAATACCAGGTTTTACAGCATTTAATATCAAAGTACCAGGTATTCGTCAACAGATAAATACATATAAAACTGTTACGGATCTAAGTAAGATTAATTTTGATCGAACAATATATATAATTTGGGCTGGTGGAAATGATTATTTTTTTAATATGAGTTTATTTTCATCGATTGTTGTTAAAAGTTTAATCAATGGAATAAATGATTTAATTCAAATAGGTGTTAAACATTTTTTTATTGGTAATCTACCACCTCTTCAAGCATATCCAGCAGCTTTTGCTTTAAATATACCTGATTATTTAAATAAACTTACACTTGAACATAATAATAATCTATCAAATTCAATTCAATTACTTCAATCGAATTATTTGAATATATCATTTAAATTATTTGATGTTTATTCACTCATTACAAATATTCGTATGAATAGTTCAACATATGGAATTAATAGTACGACTAATTGTTGGGATACATCAAATAATACTATTATTCAATTATGTTCAACTCCTGATACTTATCTATTTATTGATGAATATCATTTTACTACTCGTATACATCAATTAATTGCTGATTATGCACGATCATTACTTATAACTTCAAATGGAGTTAAAAAAGCTCCTCAATATATTTTTTATATTTTATCTTTTTTTATAGCATTATATATTTGATAGAAGAATATTTTAAATCTTATATTGTTGAATCTTTCTATGGTCATCAAACTTGAGTATATTTCATGATGATAATCTTGAAAACTCAATGACAAGTAAGATTTTAGTCGATTTCGTCATTTCTCATGTTTTCAAAAAAGTAACAAAAAAAAACACAAATGTTTTTTTAAATAATAAAGTATGATTAAGCTGCTAATGACAAAATCTCTTCAGTTAATTACTTCCTTCTGATTTCAATGATGTTTTTGTGTCTAAATATATTAAATAGTGTTCTAACAACAAACTGAAAAGGATTTGAATTTCTATTGATATTTGACTAAGCTACAGATTTTCTTTCTCTAGATAACCCACATCCGGAAAACTCATATTTTCGAATTTAGGTCTAAAACTTAGTGCATATAAAGAACTGTACTAGAATTATTTCTCTTAAAAAACTCACAAATTTCAAACAAAGTCTCTTCAAAATATGAAGCTTTAGATCTTGAAAATGTTAGATACCGAGGAGACTTTATTCAAAACTTCTGAACTTTTTTTTTTTATTAATTCTAGAATTTCGTTAGTCTGCTTTACTCCACTGTTAGAGTATGTCAGAATCTCAGATTTTCAAAACCCGATTCAATTGTTACATTGTGGTCAACCGGTGAGAAGATTTTGCCAATCACCAAATGTGAAGTTGTCCGCAAAAGAGATAATCATTGAAGTATTATAAATATATACAGAGAAGTGTACTCAATCAAAATGATCACAATCGCATGATGTAAATGATTTTGTTGAAGTTTCTCAGCTTGTTCTGATACTTCATTACTCTAACATAAAGAGTGTCTCTAACATTTTGCCATGCGCTATGTTTCATTGCCGATTACGCATAAATTTTGCGCCTTATATTGTAAAAAAGAGGATACGTTCGTCTATGTTGTAAAAAAATTGGTGAAAAGTAATAAACCATCATTATTCTTTTATTACTATTAAAAGTAAATCCTTTTAGATTTATCACCGTAATCTGCCATTTCATCAACAATTTATGCTCATAATTCTTGGCAAATGTTTGTGATCTATTGCAAGTGCATATACACTTATACTGTTTTCTGTGTTCATAATTATGAAAGGATAAATTACACTCATAAATCTAAAAAGGATTTACCTAATGGCAATAAACAGGTAATGAGGAATTATTATTGTTCACTTGTTTTTAATAGCAACTGAACCCAAAGGATGTACTAACAGATATTTCTTTCGACATTTTATAACAGTAACATTAAATATCATCTATTCAAGAAGTAA